CCGTTCCAGCACAGAATGCCAAGACGCCTGAGATTTCGAAACTTGAACTTGGCCTTCCAGGTCATCATAAGAGTATCCTCGTCAAGGCAGGAGGGGAGAGAACATATTTAACAGTTCATTAGCTTGATTTATAACTTTAGAATAATAGATAGAACTGTGGTATTTGGGCCTCCTTCCTACTCCGCTCTGGATCCTGCAAATGTTCGCGGTGGCCTTGCATGGGTTTGTGTGTCGGGAGGAGAGAGGAGGCAGAGGACGCTCAGTGACTTCTGGTGGGAGTTTTGCTGCTCATTCTTTTGCAAACAGGACCAAGAGGCTCCTGCCCAGGAAAAAGCAAGACTTTCACGTTCAGACTCAAAGTGAACCTGCCCCAGGTGAAAAAGAATTAAAGCTGATGCAGAGTCCCTACTCCGTGCCCTGTCCAGGAGAGAGAGCCAGAGACCGAGTCAGATGTCAAACGGCCCTTGTATTGTCCTGAGGGACACATGGGCTGTAATTAGCCTCCCCCTGCAGTGGCGTTGTCGCTGGCCCTGAGTGGCCGGTCCTGTCTCCACCTGACTCCCCACGGGGCAGAGCCTGTCCCAGAGGGGCAAGGCCGGTGGACGGGAGGAAGGATGCACTCCTGCACCCCCACCCTGGCCTCCCTGAGCCTGCTGGGGTCTGGGCTCACCGTCGTCCAGCGTCCGCTCCAGGATGGGGGGGTGGCTGGGGCTGCCGTCGCCGATGCGTGTGAAGGCCAGCACCTGCACCTCGTAGAGCACGTACTTGCCCAGGCCTGTGAGCTGGGCGCTGCGGGATGAGTTGCCTTCCACCAGCCAGGACCGGGACTGGACATCCGCGTCTTTCTCCTTGTACATCACCTGCCGGGGCCCAGCACAGAGTGAGGGTTTGGGCCGGGGCTCACCCCCAGGAGTGGGGTGGGCAGGGCATGTGGGGTTCTTGGAGTGACTCGGCCCCAAGGAGATGGGGGGGATTTCGAAGCTATTATTCTTGGAGGGCTGGGGACACAAAGATGGACTCAGCCATGGAGTTTGGAAGGCTCCTTAGAGAGCATCCAGCGAGGGAGACAGGCCCAGACAGGAGCCATGGCTTGCCCAAGGCCACACAGGTCATAGTGGCCAAGCTAGGAGGTCAACCCACATCTCCCAACCTCCAGGCCAGGGCTGAACCCTGCGGCTAGGCACAACTTTAAGAGGAATTCTAGAACATGATGGAAACCAAAACTGGGCTCATCAGAGCTGAGAGTAAGGCTGGGGAAGCCCAGCACGGTCTCTTGGGAGAGGTGGGACAGCCCCAAGAACCCTGAGCCTCACTGGGCGCCTCCCCGCCCTTGAGGATAGGACTTCCTGGTTGCTATGATGACGGGTGTCTAGGATACCTCCAGAAGGCAGAGACCCAGAGAGAGACGAGGACAGGGCCCCGGGATGGAGGGACCGGGGAGGGCAGTATAGGGCTCCCGCCTCCCGGGTCCCGGGACTCACCTTGTAGCCCAGCACAAGCCCATTGCGGTCGGCCTCAGGGATTTCGCTCCAGCGCACCAGCATGCTGCTGGACGTGGTGGCCAGGGCGGACACGTTGGTGGGGCCTGCAGAGGGGACTGAGGGGAAAGCAAGCGGAGGGAAGGAATCAGGGTCAGCTTGGCCCTACGGTGCAAGGAAGGGGGAGCCAGTTTGATGCCGTCCGCTCTGGGGCCGGAAGCATGGCACAGATGGTCCCCACACGGCAAACGATCCCGCTCTGAGGATGGCTTTTGGTTCTGGAATGCTGTAGAGGCTGCTTCTGGTTTTAGATGGGTCTCCCTCACGTCCCCCCCATATCCTCTGCTCAGGCTGGCGGTGGATGGGCGTGCATTTCCTGCTCATACAGCAGTGCGGGTGGGGAGGGACCAGGGTGGTCCAGGAAAGCGGCCTGCCCGTTAAAAGGTGTTGGGAACCTGGCACGGGGTGGTGAACCGCATGTGGATGGATGAGAGTTGCCTGAACACTGGGCTTATACTCTGTGGGTGACCTCTGGCCAGGCCCCTAGGAACTGCAGGTTGTTTCTGGAATGTTCTGAGAGCCGACCCTCTTCCCCACCCTGT